GCTAAAATTAAACATACATTGAAACTCAAATTGTATGTGGCATTATTAAAAATTGTTTTGTTGATGTACTCAGTACAAACATTCCCTGAAATTGCTTTAAAACAGCTTAAAAATGTTCAGATTGTCACAGCCCCCACCCATCCTCCCAGCCAACTGGTGTAGACATTCGCGGATTTCAAATATCTCAAGTTGGTAACTATGATCTGCCCAATTCACCATCTTTATCTATTAGCAATTCAGTTCTCTGAACACTATGAGTCATGAGCCTTAATATATCTGTAGGAATGAACCTACTTTTAGTAGCCAAACTATAATGCGATAATATTACTGTGTAAAAGATTAGAATGCTGAGTTACTGCAAAATCACTGTCTCATGGGTCAGTTTTGTCTTTTCCACATAAGAATTTCTGGGAATATTCAAGAAATATTGTAGTAATGTAGCTCATGTTGCATAAAAATACTGACAATTTCAGGGGATGGGCTTTGACTTGGATTAGAATGTCATCTCTAAGACTGGGCTGTCACCTGGGATGTGCTTTCACCTGGGGTGAGCTGGCAACCTAGGTAGGGTGTCACCCAGTGAGGACTGTCACATGGGGTGGCTGTCAAGAGGGGTGAGCTGTCAACCTGGGTGGGCTTTATCCTAGGGTTTGGACAGACACAGGGTGGGATTTCACCAGAAATGGGTTTTCCTGAGGTGGGGTATAATAAGTGCACCATATAGCCATCTGTGCAGGATGTTCTCATTTTTAACATGCGGAGCAGGATTAATTCCGGCTTGAATTCAATTATGTCATCTCATGAGGGAGACAGAATAATCTCACAGAGGTTAACCAATAATCATGGGCTTAACCCTTATCAATGCAACACCTCGCGTTCCAAGTATTGCACACCACTGGGAATGACAACTAAAATATGGCCAACATTTTTAATCATTATTTTTTATGAGTCATGCAACTTTATGGGCTTCGTAGTATCAATTAATTGATGCACCTTTAAATGATGGCAAATGAAATATTCAAGATTCAGAGACGATTACTCACTCATAGTCACATATGAATCACACGATTAGAAATTTTGCGAGGTTAAAAAAATGTTTAATAATTTAGCTGAAAACCTTGTTTTACCTCTGTTAAACAAGAGTACAATACAGTAGAACTCCTATTATGGGGACACCTTCGGGACCAAACAAAGCATCCCCTTAATGTTGACTATAGTGTAGTGTAAAGATACTTTCCCTTGTTTTGTGACCGAAAAAAATGTCCCCTTAATAGGGATGGTCCCCAAGGAGGGATTCTACTTGGGACTCGACTGTATCAACTAACAATATCATTAATCACCAGCTAAATAATAATTATATCGAACTGTGTCATCGTGTGATGAACATGTTGAGGGCTTCTTCATTGACTCTCTCTGTAGACTATGAACGTAAAATTCTACAGACAGGGATTACAGTACATGCTAATATATGCGGTGGATTGTCAAATACACGTTCCTCAGACATTCTTTAAGATAAAAATGTCATTAATTCACTGCTTTGTGGTGGGTTTTTTTTCTAGTTTGTATGAATAATTAAATTGTTAAACCTGTGTAGAATAAATTACAAAGAAAAGTTAGCAAATATGCATGTATCTGGTTTGAATTGCTAAAGATCTGATCCAGGAATTTGAATAGAGGAGGCCCAGGAAAAAATTTTCACAGATGGAGGGTCTAGTTAGAGGACCTCAGCCCCACCATGGTTGGAGCTGAAGTAGGAAAATTTATAATTATGGCCAGAAATGGCACTCTCAGACTTTCTTTCTCCATTTAAACTAAAAATGTAAAAACTTTAGGGGGCAGGCTTCCTCTGATCCACCACTTGAGTTTCGGTATGATACGACCAGGATTGGAAGTCTCTGTTGCGAAACGTGTGGTGTTTATTTGCTCACAATCACTTCAACATTTCTAGGTCAGTCTGGCGAAACAAGCATCATAGTCTCGAGACTTACTATTACATACATACATGTATACACTGTACTGAGAATTTTAGTAAAACCTGTTAAAAATGAAACCAAAACAGAAGCAAAACTAAAATAATAACAGTAACAACAACAACCACAGTAGCAACAATAATATGGAATTTTCTTAAATTAGACCAAAATAATAGCAAAAGATGTCTACTTAAAATTACTCAAATTTTTTCACTATTCACTTGACATTTTTATCCACAATCTGAGATAAATAAATCCCATAGAACTACGATGCCTTTTCTTATCTTATCTAATTCCTTTAAACACTGTGACAAAGAAAATACCACCATGCATTAAAATCTTAAAGCTATATATTATTGAATATCACATCTTTGAAAATCTTCAGTCAATGAACATAGATCAGTCTTGGATTAAATTCTTTATAAGGCAGACACTGTTTCAGTCGCGGGAACTCA